AATTTAAAGTGTTACAACAGTTTCTATTTACTCAATTTTCTTCATTGCCTTTTTGTATGATTTCTGATATATAGAGTGTTGTGAAGTTCCATTTTTTTATGAACTTAAGCTGATTTGAAGTGTTACAACAATTTCTATTTAGTCAAGTTTCTTCACTGTCTTTTTATAAAGTTTTATTTTTTATGATGTTTGGTTTTCTTGTGGTGTTTGTTTATTTATGAACTTTACTGTTGTGTGAAGTTTCAAATATATGCACTATTGTGAAGTTCTATTGTTTATGAACTTAAGCTGATTTTGAGTGTTACAACAGTTTCTATTTAGTCAAGTTTCTTCATTGGCTTTTTATAATGTTACGTTTTTTAGGATGTTTGGTTTTCTTTTGATGTTTGGTTAATTATGAAGTTTAGTGTGTTGGGAAGTTTCTTTATATGCATTGTTGTGAAGCTTCTTTTTTATGAAGTTTAGTTGTTTTGAATTTTTACATCAGTTTCCAGTTAGATGAGTAACATAATCTGCATTTTATAAAGTTTCGTTGAAGATAGAATTTTCAATTACTTTTCTGGCTACATTATATCTTTTTGGATTTTGCCTATTAATTTTTACATTCACATCGTTTCAGACCACCCGTTTATCATTTCAAGAGCTCCACTTTTGATCACTGACTTGAAGTCTGAATTGAATGTCTGGAATATTGCGGTTCGCGTCATCAACCTTTGGACGGCCAAGGAACGAAATGGAAATCAGTATCTAGAGGCTATTTTACAGGATGCCAAGGTATTAAAATTGTGTCTGCTATGTTTTCATATACTATTCAATAAACCACTGATTGTTGCTCTTCATTTTTGTCTCACTAGAATAATCAGATTTATGTCATAACACGAAACTGCAAACTAGAAACCTAGAAAGAAACTCTACTGGAGGACCAGACTTATATGGTTTACAACGGAGAGCCTCAGATCAATGACCTACCATTGAAAGTCTGCGACAACAAGCTGAAACTGTTTTTTAATGGTACCACCATAATTACCAGTATCGATATGCCTGATATTCCAGTACACACTTTCAAATTCAATCCCTTTCAGACTTCTTGAATGGAGATTTTGATGTTGATCGCTGATATGGTAAAAACTATTTGCATCTTCCATTTATATTTTTGTTCAACTGTTGAACTAACTCTCCTTTTCCAATCAGATACCATTGGTTTCGTGCAACAAGTTGTTAGGACCCAGACTGGAGGAGCTGGTAAAAAAACCGTGTGTCAACCTCATTTTGTCTGATGAAAGGTATGCCACGTTACAACTTCACACCTGCCTAATTTATATTTATTCGCTTCATAGTGTTTCGATGTTATTTGTTTTGTTAGTGGAGATGAATTGATGTCACCCATTGGGAGGCGTATGCCAACCAACTAATGGCTTTTACTAAAGATAACGGTCCACCGGTTATCATACTAACTCATTCTTAGTGTCACCAAAGTTCGAGTACGTTCCTTCATTAATTTTCTCACATACATTCATTCATTGACCTGTACATGCTTCACATACATCAATTCCTTAACAAAAACATGCTTCTCATACATTTATATTTTCATGGTTGCAGCCACAGGGAAACTGGATCTTTCAAACGCTTAGAACAGTTCCAAACTGCTACCTAACTATGACCATCCCCAAGTAGTCGATTTCAAGGCAAAGTGTGCAATAATGATATCTATCTGAAGCCAGCTTCTGCTTCTGCTGCCCAAAACTAGAGTCCTAATCTGAGCTCTAACAATACTCCATCCAGGAGATTCTCAGGAGATGATTCTAACGAAGATTATGGACCCTCTGAATTTTTGACTCCTAAGCTATCTGCTACAAAGAATCCAAGGACCAAGAGTGCAAGACATCCCAAAGGCAAATGATGGGCAATTTTTCATCTATAAATTACTAGGCTTGAAGTTCCAGTGATGTTTTATTTGGCGTATATTCTTATTTTGTGTAAGACATTAATTATCATCAACTTGTCCTTTTAACAATCATTATCTTTTGTAAAACCGTGGCGAACTTCGCTACAAGATATTATTTTTTTTTAATGATATTTCCATTTTATTGGAATACATTTGGTTCTCTTTTACAATCCACTTATTTTGTTCTTTATTTCTCAGTGTTAATATTGAACCAACTTATATATACACTTCAAGTGAATTTTAAACAACTTCTTTTAAACATTTAGCCAAAGAAAAAGTGAACTAACTCATTTCTTATTTCTCTGAACTAAACAATTACAACAATCTATTGTAAGCACTAATTGTTATTTCTAAGGTTAAGGTTTCCTGCATTCATTTGCTTATCATTTAAAACATTAATCTTATTCTTGTATGTCTATATCAATTACTATTGCAGTTGCTTTATATTTTCAGCACCTCCAACATGCATGTCTCAAAGTTAAACATAAATGCATGATAATAACTTGTTGGAAATCCACCAAAGTCTATGATGAATTTCTACCACAATGACAATTTAATTATGAGACAAACAAATAAAAGAAGACAAGACAAATAATTTCTGCAGAGTTTCTCTCTGCTCATAAACTGTGAAAACTTTCTTATTCAATTTGCAACTGCAAAATACTGTGAATGACTTGCTTGACTTACTTACAAAAATAGGGGTTACTCCCTCTATTTATAACTGAGCTTACACCCTAAACCCAAAGTCCAAAATATCTTTTTGTTACTAAATCAAATCTAATTTATTCTAGACTTAAATCAAATCTATTTAAATCTAAAACAAATCAAATTTTTTCGACACATTGGATTACAATTTAACATAACTCTCATTTTAAAGAACACAGGACAGAGCGTTTTAAACCGAACGAGACAACCGTCAATACACCTACCACCAGTCGTATTCCCCTTTCAGACATCAAGACAACAACTAATCAACAAGGTTACATCACTAATCTTCTACCAGGTTTACTACTTATTTTTAATCACTTATGACATCTTATATAAATCATTTTAATTATTTAACATTATGCTAACACATTTATTTCAATCGTTTAGGTGATGAAAAGGAGTATCTGAGTAGTGACACTATAGACCGATCTATAGCTAATGATATTGATGGTTTTGAGCATTTGATACCAGAATTCTTAAGTTGTTTGAAAATATCAGGATTTCCAAATCATTCAATGAAGCTAAAAATTGGCACATGTATAATGTTGATAAGGAATTTAGATCAATGCGAAGGACTGTGTAATGGAACGAGATTGACGGTGACTAAACTAGAAAATCATGTCATTGAAGCCCAAATTATATCAGGTACTCATATTGAAAATATTATTTACATTTTCATAATATTTTTATCTCCTTCTCAATCTCCTTAGCCATTCAAGCTTATTAGAAGACAGTTCTCAATTATTGTTTCATTTGTCATGACAATAAATAAATCTCCGAAAAAATCATTAGAATTTGTGGGTTTATATTTGCCAAAAGATGTATTTATTCATGGTCAATTATATGTGACAATATCAAGAGTCAAGAGCAAAAAAGGTTTGTAGATCTTGATTCATGATAAAGAAAAAGTTCATTTATGTCAAACAACTAATATTGTATTCAAAGAAATTTTTCGTAATGTTGTCTAGATTTTCATTACTATTTAGTTTGTTGACATTTTTATTTAATTTCAACATTGTCATCATGTTTTTTGATTGTGTACAACTTGTGTTCCTTTAGAAATTCCTTTCATCAATTTAATTTTTTGTCATTTTACTTACGATATCACTAAACAAATCTTTCTTTTAACATTTTCATTAGATGTTAAATTTTTTTTCACATTCCGATCTTACCATACCGACGCACGAGTCTTCTACTAATTAATAATAATAATAATAATAATAATTATTATTATTATTATTATTATTATTATTATTATTATTATTATTATTATTATTATTATTATTATTATTATTATTATTATTATTATTATTATTATTATTATTATTATTATTAGTGTTATTATTATATTTAAATATATTATAATAAAATATAATTAAAGTATGATATTATATATAAAATCAAATTCTCTAAAATATCATATTAAATATAAATATTTTATTTTATTTTATTGATTTACAAATTTGTTAATTTATTTAAATACAAGTTTTATAAATCATTTAAATATATTCATATAAACTAAAATTTTAAATTTGGTTAATAGAATCTAAGACTACAAACTTAGATTTACAATTTTTTTGACTAAATCAAATTTAAAGTTTGCAATGTCTAACTCAATTCAAGTTTAACTTGATCTGATTTATTCATGATGAGATTATTTCTAATGTTTCTCATTATCTCCGTCTTTTTTGATAAAAGAAAAAGTCACACATTTAAATAAAAATTGATTCTAAAAATAATTTATATATAACATTTACACTCCTCAATTTAAATTCTAATGTTTCCATAACTACGTGAATAAACAACAACAACAAAAATAGTTGCTAGCCATGTCTGAATTGTGAACCAATTTCCTATATTTATGATTGGAACAACATTGTCAATCAATTTACTATTTATGATTGGACCATCAGTTTGAATAAATTCCCAATTGAGTTGATTAAGCTTATCTAGAATTCAAGCAAAAAATCATGTGATTCTTAAAGACACAAAAGTTCAACTTACTTTTAATTAATAAGGTTATTCTGCCTCTGTACATAATGTACATGCATAAAGTTGAAGAATGAAGACAACTGAAAATGCTTTATTAGTGACAAGAAAAACATGATTACACAACAAGCATTATTGAAGTACTCTTTATTCCTAGAGGAATATCGTTCAATTTCCTCCATTCGCAAGCATGAACACTTGTTGCATACTTGGCCTATTCTTTGGTGTTTTCTATTATCTTCTTCTCTCAATAAAAACCACACCCTCTTTTCACTTTATATGATGTCATTTTCATTAACTTCAAAAACAACAAAATTTAAAATCTTGCTTGCAATATGACAAAGGTGGATAGGCACCTCTAGGTACTTGTTTTTTCTTGTAGCCACATTGAAAAAACATCAAGTGTTCTTTCATCAGCCCTGTAATATTTTTGTGTAAATTCAAGCAAACTTGGCCATGTGAAGTTTGGATATTTCCTTGGATTCTCTTTGGTAATAAGCTCTTTTGGAGGAGTGACCATTTTGTCTTCATTTGGACAGAGAAAAAATGCAAGTGATTTTCTCACTATTTTGTCATTTACAATTGCTCTATGCAAGCAACTCTTGAAAATTCCATTTGATAGAGCCTGAAAATAAATCACTACATGTTAGCATTTAACTTTATTCCATAAGCATAACTATCAAATTTTGTTAAATGTTCACTAATATTCCTTTAATAATATTTAATATGATAAAGTTCCACTAAATATATCATTTTTTGTCATTTCCGGAAGAATTTTTTTTTATATATATTTATTTTAGTCTTTACAAAATTTAATGATATCAAATTTGATACTTGTTTGTTCTTATTTTAAAACATTAAAAATCAAATGTTTTACAAATATAATAGATCCATTTTAATTTAAATAAATTTTGTAAAAATTAAAATAAAATAAATAAAAAACAAAATATTTCACATTTGAAAGGACTAATAATAAAATAGAAAATATTTTATAAAAATTAAAAGTCCTAATATTCTGAGATACCATTTATCAGAGCTTTAAAAAACAGTTCACGATTGTGAAAACGACGGTGATAAAATAGTACAAATAGATACCGATATCATTATTTTTTTTTATTAAAGAATAAATTATAATTCATATTGTAACGATTGAAATAAGTGTTGCAACACTTGTCCTTATCCTGATCGAAATCGTGAAGACTTTTATGTGACTGTGACACTTTTTTAAAACCTTACCATTGATATATTTAAACCATACTTAAATATGCATTTAATTGTGAACAAATTATGTGCAACTTGAGAACCTTAAAAATATGAAAACCATACCATAAATGTGTCACCAATGTTGACCACGAAAGCATCTTCTTTAGGAACAACTGAGTGCCATATTCCATCCACAAGCACTTGAAGACCTTCAACTTGATCTTGGTGGAGAATGGTTAGTGAAGTAGGGTCACAATGAGGTCCAGTTCCTAATGCTAAATCAGGATTTTTGCATGGTGGATAGTAATTCAATCTCATAACTGAGTCATTTCCTTCAAAAAAGTTTCTAAAATATTCCTTGTCAACTCCTAGGCTCATACCAAGAAGCTCCATTATGCTAAGAGAGAGATTGCTCATAGCTTCACAATAGTTTTGGTACACACTCCTATTAAATTATAGAAGAAAAAAAATCAATAAGAAGAAAAAGTTTGAACAATCGATATATCTAACCTATATATAATCAAATAAGAATTTTTTTTCTTATAATAATTAAGATAGTAAAAAAAACGATTTTATCAAAGTAACACCAAAAGATGCCGATATCGATACTGTTACTCACTGTTTTTATAATAAGAAAAAATTATGGTTTATTTACACGAGGACGACCATTATCATGTTGCAATACATATATTGATTAAAATCGCAAAAGTTTTTATGCGAGTGTGTTTTAAAACCTTTAAGTAGTTATATTCTTGAAACAAACTTTGTCATTAGGAAACTAAGAAATTAGAGTATGCAAGAAAAAACCATTGTGTCTTACCCAAATTGTCTGAAATCTTCTCCCATGACATTTACAAAATAGTCCTCCACAGTTTTGCATGAGTTGTTCCCGGAGTAACGAAAAGAGAGTGTTTCCTTCCATGGAAGTTTGGAAGAAAATCTTCCAATAAAACTATTAGCATAACCACAATGTTCACCCATCTTTCTTTGAGCTCTTTGCTTCTCAGATAGTTGCATGCAGAAGAATTCATCAACAAGCTTATGAGCTTGAGCTATGAGTTTGTTATCAACACCATGGTTAACAACAAGAAAAAAGCCATGTTTTTTGCATGCATGATACACTTCTGAACAAGCATTTGAGATGGAATTTGGATCATTAGAGAGAAAAGCTTTTAAATCAATAGGTGGAACTTCAAGTTTTGGTGGTGTTAAACATGGTTTCTCATGTTCTGGCCATATGAACTCTGAGGGTATGTTGGTAATTTGTAATGGTAGAGAAGTTGTATTGTCATGACATTGTTTGTTTTCATTCATGAAACTTTCATTTGCATTTGGGGGTGCAAATAGCATTGAAGGACTAAGCACTTGCATGTTTGAGTACACTTGGTGAGTACTTTGTGAAATGCAATTTATGTAAAAATTTGAAGTAGAAACTAGAGAGAGAGTGATGTGAGAGAGTGATTGAATGATAAATAAGACAAAGGAAGAGGTTAAATAATAAAGGTGGTGAAAATGGAATGTGTAGAAAGGCCAATAGAGTTCATTGGGGAAGTCGAGGAACAGCATATGAGAATCTTATAATAATATATAGTTTGAATTTTTTTGATAAAATTGTTCTAATGTTTATAGAATATATAGTGTCGATAATATATTGGTAGATTATGTGTCAATGTTCAAATCATACAAGTGGTGTGTGCATAAACATGCTCCATTAATTCAGAAAAGCTTCTTCACTTTTGAAAAAATAGTGCAATCAAGTAGAAATTATTTATTATCATGATTGTGTATTACAAATCTAGTTAAGTGAAATAATAATATTCTTCTTGCTTTATATGTATTTGGATGCATAAAACAAATGATCTAGCATATGACACGCATATTTTTTATTAAATTAACTAGTAAAATATGAATGAGGAACAAAGTAAATGGAATAATAGTGAAATTTAATATTATCTTTAGGGATTGGAACCTCTAGAAAAGGAAAATCAAACAAAAGAATGACCCAAATTTATGATCGGTCTCTTTGTATTTGAAATTATGTTGGAATATTTAAAAAGGATGGTCAATGTTGGTATTGGGTAATAACATGGAGACCTCTACATTGTAATATTAATAATATTGGATTAATGAAATTCAACACGATCATTGTGAATAATTAAAAACATCAATTTTAAACAATATTATTATAGATTATATAAATGAGTTATTTTTTTTATCACGCTCATTTATACATATTACAATCTCACTAAATATTTTAAGTTAAATATGTCTGAAAAAGATAACAAGGTAGAAACTAATTTCATTAATCTCTTAGTATTATATTAATTAATTATTGAAAACATGATTCTCACATCATTGTCATTTTAAAATTGCGTGTTAGAAATTAAACATATTCATCGTCGTCAATTGACATATAAGAGTACACAAAAAAAATCGATACAAGAACCATTTTTTCCATTTCATTTTCGCATCCCAATGCAAATCTGCCGTAGTTTTATAACGGTCAAATTCTTAGCTTCTTCCAAAAGTACGGTTTTTAACTCTCCTAATGTGAAAACAAACATTCACTATGTCAAAAACTCCTCAATGTGAGTTCAAATTATAGAATTCAAAATTTTCTATAGTAGTATCAAAGTTCATATATTTAATAATAGCACATTTAAGTTATACCTACATAAATAATAATCTAAAAAATATATTTTTTAAATTGAACAAAAAATATTCAAAATTATAGATAACATAACATGTCAAACTGAATATGTGATGATATACATTACAAGAAGAATATATTTGACTACTGTTATTTTAAGATATTGCGGTTATTTAAACCGTCGCTATCCTTGAATTAGGACAAACTATTGCAAAATTATGTGTAACAAGTTTATTCTGCGACGGTTTGAAAAACTACCGCCCCAACTATTGGAAATGTAATTTAGTTAATGTCTACAATTCTCAATGCTTATTCTTTATTAGGGTCTTTTGGCATTTTCAATTTTAGTATAAATATGCTACCTAGGCTATCAATATTGTAACTCATTCATTTCTCTTTTGATATACAATAGTAGTCCTCTTTGTTATCATTCATTGCTCATTCTTCTTCTCCCCTTTCATTACCTTGCACCAACAAATTGGTATCTAGAGCACTTGGTTCTGTTTTTCCTGGGAAACACGAGTGTTTGTGAGATGTGTGTTTGATTTTGGTTCATTGTTTTTTCTGTTGAAATCTTGAACAAAATCTGAACAGGATTTGATTCTGTGGGTTGGGAAACAGTGTGTTTGAAGATATGAAAATCCGTGCAAGGTTTAAAATGAGTGGAGACAGTAGTTTGAACACCAAACTTCCAGTTTTTAATGGCAAAAACTGAAACAGATGGATGATACAAATGCGTGTGTTGTTTGGTGCACAAGATGTTCTAGATCTGGTTACAGATGGTTATGTACCAGATGCAGCAGATGCAACTGAAGAACAGAGAACTGCTGAGAGGATGATGAGGAAGAGGGACCAGAAAGCTCTGTTCTATATCCATCAGTGTGTGGATGAAAGTGTGTTCGAGAAGATTGATGATTCAACAACGTCAAAAGGGGCGTGGAATTTACTGGTGAGATGTTACGGTGATGACACATCAGTAAAGAAGGTGAAGCTGCAATCCCTACGAAAGTAATATGAGAACCTGAACATGAAGAGCAGTGAGAAAGCTTCTGAATATATCTTCAGGGTGATTCTGATCACTAACGAGATGAAGGCGTGTAGAGAAACTCTGATGATGAATCTGTACTACTAATGGCTTCTGACTCTGATGGAAAATGCTCAGAAGATTGGTGGTATATGGATACTGGTTATTTTCAAATCATTTAACTGGAAACAAACAATGGATGATAGACTTTGACTCTAGAAGGAGAACAAAGATCAGATATGCTGGCGATAAGTATCTTAATGCAGAAGGTATGGGAGATGTCAGAGTTAGAGTGAAGAATGGGAAAGACATTTTGATCAAAGACGTTTGGTATGTTCCTGGTATTAGAAGCAATCTGATGAGCGTAGGACAGCTGATTGACAAAGGTTTCTCAATTGTTATGAAAAACAATCTTCTGACATTGTATGGTTCTAATCAGAAGTTGATTATGAAGTCTGAACAAGGAGGAAACAGAACATTCAAGGTAAATGTAGAAACAACTGAAGCAACGTGTCTTAGTGCAGAAGTCGCTGAAGGTAACAGTAAGTTGTGGCATAAGAGGTTGGGGCATTTGAACTATAAAAGCTTAGGGCATCTATGTTCTAAGAAGCTTGTACATGGTATTTCGAAGATTGTGAAGCCTGAGAAGTCATGTGAGATATGCATGAAAGGAAAGCAACCTAGATTTCCATTTACATCAGAAGTAGCCCCTAGAGCGAAGCATGCTCTGGGAGTAGTACATTCTGATGTGTGTGGACCATTTCCAGTACCTTCACTTGGAGGAAACAATTATTTTGTGTCTTTTGTGGATGAGTTCACAAGAATGACATGGGTAACACTCATCAAGTTCAAGCATGAAGTGTTTACTGAGTTCCAGAAATTCAAAGTGAAGGCTGAGAAGTAGAGTGGTCAGAAGTTAAAAATTCTGAGAACAGATGGTGAAGGTGAGTATAACTCTACAGTGTTTCAGAAGTTCTGTGAGGAGAGTGGAATAGAACACGAGGTTACTACTCCATATACTCCTCAGCACAACGGTCTTGCTGAAAAAAGAAACAGAACTTTGCTTGATATGACCAGAAGCATGATGAAAGAGAAAAAGCTACCTTACGTGTTATGGGGAGAAGTTGTTGCCACGTCGGCATATATTCTGAATAGGTGTCCAACGAAGAAACTGAAGGAAGTTGTTCCTTTAGAAAAATGGACTGGAGATAATCAGAGTGTCAGTCATCTGAAGGTGTTTGGCTTTGTCTGTTACAAACACATTCCAGAAGCTAGAAGATAAAAACTGGATGATAGAAGCAAAGTAATGTTGTTGGTGGGGTACCACAGTACAAGGGCGTATAAGCTTTATTGTCCAGAAAGTAATAAATTTGAAGTCAGTAGAGACGTTGTGGTGAAAGAGTCTGAAGCATGGGATTGGAACAAATCTCAAACAGATTCTGGTGCAGTGCCAACACCAGAGTTATCCTCTGAAGATGTTTTAGAAAGTTCAGAAGATGAATCTGATTCTGAAGATCCTGAAAATTCTGAAGATGAGTCAGAAGAAGATTATGGAAATGGATCTGATTCTGATCCAGATGCTGATGATGATCCAGAAACTGGTGGTGATCATAGTTCTGGAAGGGAAAACTCTGAAGGTGGTAACTCTGAAAGTAGTAGTTCTGGTGTAGCTTCAGAACAAGCTCAAAGACCACAGAGAATCAGACAAAAACCAAGAAGGTTTGCAGATTTTGACATGCTACAGGATAATGAAGTTGACTCTGAAGGAGAAGTCGTTCAGTGTGCCATGTTAGTAGATTCTGAACCAGTGGGCATTGAAGAAGCTCTCAAGAAGAAAGAATGGCTTAATGCCATGAAAGAAGAACTTGAGGAAATAGAAAGGAACAAAACTTGGAAATTGACTAAACTTCTAGATAAGAAAAAAGCCACCGGCGTCAGATATGCTGGCGATAAGTATCTTAATGCAGAAGGTATGGGAGATGTCAGAGTTAGAGTGAAGAATGGGAAAGACATTTTGATCAAAGACGTTTGGTATGTTCCTGGTATTAGAAGCAATCTGATGAGCGTAGGACAGCTGATTGACAAAGGTTTCTCAATTGTTATGAAAAACAATCTTCTGACATTGTATGGTTCTAATCAGAAGTTGATTATGAAGTCTGAACAAGGAGGAAACAGAACATTCAAGGTAAATGTAGAAACAACTGAAGCAACGTGTCTTAGTGCAGAAGTCGCTGAAGGTAACAGTAAGTTGTGGCATAAGAGGTTGGGGCATTTGAACTATAAAAGCTTAGGGCATCTATGTTCTAAGAAGCTTGTACATGGTATTTCGAAGATTGTGAAGCCTGAGAAGTCATGTGAGATATGCATGAAAGGAAAGCAACCTAGATTTCCATTTACATCAGAAGTAGCCCCTAGAGCGAAGCATGCTCTGGGAGTAGTACATTCTGATGTGTGTGGACCATTTCCAGTACCTTCACTTGGAGGAAACAATTATTTTGTGTCTTTTGTGGATGAGTTCACAAGAATGACATGGGTAACACTCATCAAGTTCAAGCATGAAGTGTTTACTGAGTTCCAGAAATTCAAAGTGAAGGCTGAGAAGTAGAGTGGTCAGAAGTTAAAAATTCTGAGAACAGATGGTGAAGGTGAGTATAACTCTACAGTGTTTCAGAAGTTCTGTGAGGAGAGTGGAATAGA